TCTGACTGGAAAGTGTGACTGAAAAAGAGACCGGAAATGCTCAACCTGGCGCATTCGTAGACGTTTTGCCGCGGTGTTGTTCTGGGCGAGTATCTCTCGGTGACGTCACAGCTCATGGTAGAGTCTAGGATTGACCGTGCCCAGAACGCCTAGGGACCAGGCTGGGTTAGTTTATACAACAAATAATCAGGCATATTTGGTGGCAAAAACGTTTCTATATAGACGCTATAAAGTTTTGTTAAGGCACTGAATGGAAGGGAAAACGAAAAAGTCGTCGTATAAAAACTATTTTCTCTCCAGTTACAAGTGACTCCAGACGCATTAACATGTACATCCATGCAAATTTGGGGTTGACCTTCCACAGACTGACAAATCAAGACATCCTTATGTTTACATATAAATCTCTGCTGACATCTGTTTAAACCATGCGTGAACTCAATTGGTAGGAACAGCTGTAGGGATCGCTGTTAACTTTTTAACCACTGATGATGCTGAATTACGTCTTTGCTTCTCTCTCCATAGTCATATAAAAGTTCCTCTCCTTCCGACACATCTTGGATTGTTTCCAGTATCAAATGGGGCGTGTCCTGTACACACACTAGTTTTGTGGCACAGTTTGCTTCAGTTTTGCTGTGATTTAACAGTCTTCCGAGTCTTCCACTCTCTTTTGTAGCATCAACACTGTTTAGATCGAGGACAAAAACAAGTTAGTATCGTAAAAAGAGCACATGTCACAGATGGCACTTACGGAGGCAAGGTTTGATTGTTTTGAAGGGTTTTTAGGAAAGAGAGACACTAATCCCAACAATATCGGGATTTGCAGTGCATTATGGGAAGGATACGACCTATAAGACTTAGTAATACTGTGACACACATGAATGACGTTCTCGGAGACCATGTGTAAACTGAAACAGCTGAAGAGCTGAAGTGCTGTGCAAACGGATTCAACATTGTTGCGCTACGCTTCAGTGATGACGATACAAAAGAAATGCTAGGAGTCCTCTGCAAATAGTACTATTAACTATTCTCTAGAGAAGTGTAACTTTTAAATAATTCTTCTTCGTGCAAATGCTTGTCGTAACAATAACTTTGAGAGACAGAGGGTGAACTTGGACTAGACAGTTTTCTCTACCTTGTATCGCAACAAAATTGCAAGACAAGTCACAAGGCAGTTTCTCATCGCAGAGCTTTGTTTTAATTCAAAACATTATACTCACCACAACTTTTTGTTCTTGAAGTTGAAGTAATACATGTAACACCCATATTCTGTTTTCCCTTCATAAAATTGTTCTCGTTCTTTAGCAGTCTTATAGTCAATGAGTTCTCCAGCATATTCACAAACAAACTGCCCTTTTGAGAAAGCTTTTGTTGAAAACACACCTCGCCCTTTGCCTTCTACTTCTCGTACCTAAAACAGGAAAACAAGAGAATGATTTCGTTGAAAGAAGGAAGTTCAATATCCCTCGGTATTTCTTTGCGGTATATTACATATCCTGATGCAAGTGGTCACACTTAAGTTTGTTTCTGGCAGTTTCACTGTCTGTAGCACATCTCTAGACAGGAAATTTCATAGCACCTCTACTGATTGATTGTTTTATCTTGTTATGCAGAAATCTCTAGCAAACATCTAGGTGGTTGTCAAGGTTGCTTCCTTTTGATGTTACCATAGTTATGCCCCATTGAAAAAAATTTTAACAGGTGTGAGAAGGAAATGTCGCACACACATTATTATTATTATCATTATTATTATTATCATCATTATTGTTATTATTATCATTATCATTCTTATATCTATTGTTTGCGGAAACAATTAGTTTATTAAACTGCAATTGTTACAGAGTAAATATGCAAACCAAAATAAATTCAATTTGCATAAGAAATCTCACCTCAAGGCCATCTTCTCTGCCAGACAACAGTGCTTCTTCAAGAGCATTTTGCTTTTCTTTCTGAAAACAAAATTATAATACAAAAGGTAATGAGAATTTAACTATAATGAAATTTATTTGATTTCAGATCTCTGAGACTAAAAGATAACTAAAAATTGCTCACAAGGTACATGTAATCTTTCTTGGTTAAAGCCAGGGACCTGTTTCTTGAAAGTCTGGGTAGTTGTTCGGGCCCAGAAAGCCATTTTGAGTTTCCTATATTTACATTCAAGATCAAAGTGTCTTTATTTGACAATGATACAATGAAACAATCAGTTAATGAAGCAAAACTGAGCTAGGAACTGTGCTACTATTCAACAAGTTTTGATTTTAAAATTTGCCTTCGGGCCTGAAAAGCATGTGGGTCTTTCAAGAAGTAGGCCACAGGGCTCAAAAAAAATTTGGGTTTATTGCCAGTCCTGTTCACTGGCCAAGAATATTTTGGTCACGTCTTTCTTCTCACCGGTCAAACTAACTTGAACATTTTAACATAACGAACAAAAACATTAATAATGGAAAAAGATGCTTGTCCCCTTGAAATGTAATGAGGTGAAAATGTATTTTGTTTCTGGTTGCTTAAGTGTCTGGTCAAAACGACTAGCAAAATGAGAGTTTGACCAGACAAAAGGGTCATCTTAGCCAGACATTGTCCGTTGACTGGGTATTATTTTGGCATTTAATTAACATAAAAAATAGGAGATACCTGAATAGCTGATTTGCACTTTCTGTCACTTCGTCTAACTGAAAAATATTCAGACATCGCAGTCTGTCTTGAATGCACTTCCTCATTCTTCTTCCTGGTTAAAATATCATTAATTAAATATATTAATAATTCTATTGATAATTCACACAAAGCACAGTTCCCTCCTCTGCATCTTATCTTCCCATCATCCACTGTGCTCTGTCGTACATGTGCTATCAGTAATTATTACTATTAGTACTAAAAGAAGCCTCAGTCTGTTTTTTGCTTTATAACAGACAAAAACTACTTATGAAAATATTTCTTTATCAAGTGATTTTATTCAAGGATTAAATAAGACTAACAAAATGTTTTCTTACTCTTTTTTCCTTCCTCTTTTAGTTTCTGCTCCTGACTTTTTGTTTCTCCACTTTAACATATCCAATGGACTCGATACTGTCTTCACCTCTTTCCCATTTGACTTCCCTTTTGGCTCTTTTTCATTTGTCATGTCTTCATCAACGATGGAATTTGATGGTCTTTCTTCAGGTTTTGCCATTTCATTAGATTTACAGTCTGTTAATGAGTCTAGTGAACATGAAGGCTTTTCCTTACTTAATGTGCATTGTTCAATGGAAGATGCTTCCTGCGCTTGTTGTGGAGGCAATGGTACTGCAGTGTCAGTTATGTCTTTCATTGCTTTTTCCTCTGGTAAAGAGCTGTTAGTTTGGCTTTCCTGCAATGATAGAGTAAACACTCTGAAAAATAATTTAATGAGTTGGAAACATTATCCAGGTTTTAAAAAACTAGGGCCAGATATGAAGTCTGATACGTTTACCCATAGTAGACCATCACACCTCCAAAATAATTAAGCAAGCAACCATGGACATGCTATAATCCCAAGTTAGAATAAGGCATACATCAGGGTTCATGCAGGCCATGGAAAACCTGGAAAACCATGAAATTTAAGAATATTTAAGAATTTCACTTTCCAGGCCTGGAAAGTCATGGAATTTAATTGTCAGTCCTTGAAATCATGGAAAATTCATGTTACACTTAGTAGATTAGTTACTGCAGATGTCAAAAGCAAGGACAAAGTAAGATAGACACAAGTTATATTATCAGTGTGAATGCATGACACGAACTTTGGTGGACACCAGTTTTTATGTCTGTTAAATTGAGTTAAGATTCCTCCAAAACAAGAATAGTTTTGAAAATTTTCAAAAGTGACAGCTAAAACTTAAGGTCATGGAAAACTGGATGAGTCCATGGAAAAAGTCAGGGAAAATCATGGAATTTGAAGAACTCAAAAGAGTATGAACCCTGTACATCACATGTAAGGGGTGCAACTTTGTTGGCTATCATGCTTAGCCCATGAAGAGAACACCCCATTGCGGGTGTTGTTAGCAACTATTTGTTTCATTTTCAATGAAGCGTAGATGTACAATGTAGCTAGGTCAAAAATGTTGATTAAAGTATGAACAGCTTTCCCAGTAATTTTGTACAGTCAAGTGCATGCACATTACACCTTACATTGATGAATAGTCATCTTTCTTTCCCTAAAACATTGATGACATGACACATTTTTGCCAGGACATGTTATGACACTAAACTTTGCATACACAAGGTCAGCTGTAAAATGCAACCATGCTGTGTTTTGTCTACAGGGGTGTCTGTTTTTTTTAAATATAATCACCTGAATGTCAGGCTTGTTGGTAGACTCCTGTAACACACTTGCTGCTTGTTGGACCTTTTTATTGGCAGAGGCATTGCTTCTTTTTGCTTTTCCTAAGCAAAATATAAAATAAATAGTGCTGGTGATTTAACTATGTTTAGTTTATACCAAACTGATTGACACAAAAATGACTGAAATGGAGAACTTTACTCAATATTATCTTATTTTATAGTGTTAAGGTGGCATCTCATCTCGTATATTTATATACCGGTATCCATATACCATCACATGCTATCAAATATAGTCAACCCTCTACAGGCACCAAATCATACAAGTAAACAGAGGCAAGTATCTGCGTCACTGAGTAAAGCCCTCTGCAAATGTACACAACATTGTTGGATGTTATGTGTTGCGTCTGTTTGCACATCCTGCTGCATGTTGTTGGGACTTGTTGCACAATGTTTGAAAACAGTCAAATTTTTTAGCTACATTCAGATGGATGCAACAACTGCCAACGATGTTGGGAGTTGTTGGCTGACAATGTTGTGTCCGTTTTTACAGGGCTTAAGGGATTGTAGGAAAATTTTGCTGCCTTTAGGTTTGATTAAAAAGACTTTTTGTTATAGAAAGGAGTCTGTGAGGAGTGGTTCAACCACACATCATTTTTTGAGGAAACTGGTCAGTGATATTCACTGATATTTCCTCAACATGTTGATCTGCTCTTTGTTTGTTTTTTTTTTTTCAAAGCAATCGAAGTTGCGACGCTCGCTTTTGATGACAAAACGATCTTAGAGATTAAAGCAATGATCACTTTGCCATTCGTATCAAATTTGACAAGGTTAGCCGTGCGATAACAGCAATGAAATTTGCCAAAACGTTTGCTGCTCGCCCAGAGTTTTTGTTTTGCTCAATAAACCTGTTGCTTTTTTTATTTTCTTGTTGATGTCGTCTTTGTCCAGGTTGCTTGCATTACCACACAAAGGAATTCTTGATATGCAGCGATTTTATGAAAAATCGACGATTTGATGGAAAAAGTGCGACAAAAACGACGTTCGCAGCGTACCCATAGAGGGGACCAGACATGTACGTGTGTTCACTGATGTGTTCACCGGAGAGGAGAGGGGGTGTAGAGATGGCAGAGTCTACGACACTTTTGGCCCAATCTATACACTTTTCACGTATGCCTTGTTTCATTACCGTTGATGAACTCATTAGAATCTCCCAGATACATAAGTTATAAACTCTATCTATAAAGCTTAAATATGCAAGACGTGGTGGATGAGTTGCTAATTTTTCGCAACTGTACAAAATCGCAAAATCAACGCAAGCCCAGCCTTTAATCTAAAAGTTTACGTATAAATTATTGACCAGCTTTTCTAAAATATAAATTAGAAATCAAGCAATTACCTTTGAGAGGCATTTTCTTGGTATTTTTGTCTGTTTGAGTGGCTGAAATTGACGAGTTATTTACAAAATGGACGCCATGATATTACCGCCTCAAATTTGTATTTTGTATCATAACCTTTGATTGGTTCTTTTTTCTTGTCCAATGACAACGCCGCTTTTTTCCAAAAGCGTGCAGTGGCCTCCGGGAAATCTTTGAACACAAGGATTAGTGGGGTGGCGGAAGTTCTGCCTCAGAAGCATGGATTGTACACACGAAACACTTTCTAAAAGTTTGTTATTCTAAATACACAAACTTGAGTTTAGTTCGTTTTTCTTAATTACATATGCGCTTTTTTTTATTGAAATCATTTGAGCACTTCATCTGTTTCAAGCAAAACGAACGTGGAAACACAAGTCTGCTATTTTTTTTTCACTTAAATACTTGGATTACATGATAGTTTGCCCTGAAACCAGAATTAGAAGGATATAACCCCTTGCTTCTGCCTGAAACAAGATACACTTCCTTGAGACTAACTTCCGTCCCGGGATTTCCGTAAGAGTATGTGTACATGGTTTCGTTCACGATACACGATACTAAAACTTTAAGAAATCTATGTATACAGTGATGTGATATTGCATGAGAAATTTTTTTATTGAAAGAGAAGGAGAAGCATATGCTTTTGAATTAAGAAAGGAATCAATATTGGAAGCTTTTGCCTCATGAACTCGTGGCAAATTTTCATTGGCTAAGCCACTCTTCGTCATTCTATTTCGGGAAACACTTTTCCATATTTGGAGTTATGATGAAACTTTCGTCAAAATTTCCTGCTCATTCCGTAGTTAAAGTAGGGTTGTGTAGAAAGGGGGTAGTTCAATTGTGAAAGTTTTTTAGATAAAATGGAGTCGAAAACCGTCGATAGAGATGCCGTACTTAATTCACTTGCCCTTAACAACTCAACATCAGATGGACAACCACGAAAAAGGAAAAGACTGGATAACTTAACGGCGGAAGAAAGAGCTCTTCGAAGGTTAGCGCGTCGATCGAATGTTCTTGTTGATCAATTTCTTGATTCGATTCCCTCCGATCGTCTTTTACCAGAAGCATACTCCTTGTGGCTGTCTCTTCCATTCCTTCGGTTTAATGAATTCGTTCTTATTTTGCTTAGAAAATTAAAGAACCGCGTGGCAGCACAAACTGCACGAGACAGAAAGAAAGCTCGGATGACGGAACTCGAAGAAATGGTGGCGCAATTAGAGAAAGAGGTATGAAAGCTTAAACTTTCTTTAAAACTACGAAGGTCACATTTGTTGAATCGTTTAGTTTTGTCATGCTTTATTTTGTTCAAAGGAAAAAAAAGGAAGGCCATCGTTAAACGATATCGATAAAAAAATATCGGATATTTAAAGACTTGTATTTGGTTCTCTTTGAATGCTCAGCTTCTTTGCATTGGCGTCAGTAGTAAAGTGATATTGATCATTTTGTCGTTATTTTTTTGTCAATTTCCTTCCTGAATCGTACGAGTAAGATCACTTAGAGTGCTTCAATATTGAATGTCATCTGAAGATAACAAAGTCGATAATATATATTTAATATTTTTTCCTTTGTGTGGTCATTAACGAGTACCCTGACTGTGTGGGTATCGAATGTTGGTCGATATTGCAGACATGAATGAATTTAGTATGGAAATTGTTTTCAATTATTATTTACAAATATAGGCTTACATCCTAGACTTCACAAAGGTCTTTGGTAAAATTTCAAGCGGGTAATACTACTTTTAAAGTATTAATTTGTATCTTAAACCTTCTTTGCATTACTTTTTTTTCAGAATAAAGCTCTTCGCTTAAGCAATGAAAGCTTAAGGAAACACTCTGAGACAGTAGAAATAGAGAATTCAGAGTTGAGAGTTCGTCTTGGGCTCACACCCCCTGTTTCTCCTGAGCCGGTCAACCACGCGTACCCACAAAGCCCAGAACCCACACCCTGTAAACCAAGTTCAGTTGTGATCAAGAAAGAAACAGAATGCAATGAGTATGCATCGCTCACAGTTTCTCAGCAGCAGGAACGCCTGATTCTGTTTCTCTCTCTGATCACGACATGGATGATGATCAACAACAGGTACGTAACTTCCGTACTGAATTTTCTATATGTTATGGATTATTTTTAGAAGAGCTTGTACGTGTTGTTGGTAAATTTTTGGATTACCTAGACTGCTAGAGGCAAAAGTCAAAGCTCTTGTGTTAAACTACCACTTATATTAAGCCACTCCATATCCACAGTTTTCCCAGTAGTTAAAACCTCGTACATGCAACCAAATCTTGGCATTCAGGGTGGTAATCCACGGGAGGTTTGGCTGTAGTAAAATCTAATTTTATTTTATTGTGCAAAAAGTCTTTAAAACACAGAAAACTGGGCCGGGTTGTTCAAAGCAGGGTTAAGATAAACAGGGTTAGGGCGAAATTTGAATTCAGATTTGAAAGCTTAAAAAGCAAATTCAGTTTTATTCTTTTTGCCTACAATTTGATGATTGGATGCTCTAAAAAGAATTGAGAAAATTATCCGGGAAAATGCTTTTGAACAAAAGGAAAAGAAACCCAGGTTAAAATTTAACCCTGGGTTAGTGCTAATCGGCCTTCGAACAACTGGGCCCTGAAGTTTAAGTTGAGTGCTGTCTATCTTTGAATATTCTGCTAAAACGTAGGCAAAGCTAAAGAGACAGGTTTTACAGAGGATAACTTGCTCAATGTGTAGTGATTGTTGATACGCAGTTGGTATCCAGGATACATATCTGATATAGTGGAATGTATTGTTTCATAATAGTATTCTTTAAGCTCCCACACAGTGGTTGAATTTGCATCAGAACTTGCAGCTGTTACAATATTTAAGTTCAGGCTCTTTCTCCATAAAATAATTAATTTTATTAATGCCTCTTACATTGCCTATTTTGTAAGCCAATGTATTTTGAAATGTTTATTGACTTATGTGAATCTGTAACAATATTTAGGCCCAAATTTTGGTCCTAGACTGATTTATGGTGAGATGATTTGTCAGATTAGCTTTTATGTCTTTGGACAAAATATTGATGTTGCCTGTTAAATTAAATCTCTCTGGTAGAACCTCTTTGTGGTACTATTCCTTGGGATTTTTACAAAAAGAAATTTTTTGTATTTATTTTATTCTCTAGCACCTATTAATAGAGAAAGCATTAATTGCAATGTTTATTCCATATTTTTACTTTTCAGTTTGACATGGGTATTGGCTTTTTTGAAATTGATGAAGCAGGAGAATCTCTGCTTCAGCCCAAACAAGAGGGCAGGTCCTGTTCAACCAGTTGCCAATATGGTGACACCTCAGCCACAGAAGAGCAAGTCCACCACACAGATGATGAGTCAGTCCCACAATCCAGCAGTGACTTAACAGTAGAAGACTTGGTTGGAATAGAATGTGATGGCTTTGATTCATTGGATGATCTCTTAAACTTAAAAGATTTCTCCAAAGAGTTCAAACCGCTTGATGCTGAGCCTGAAATGCTTGGTTGTGAAATGTGGGAGGAGACCTTCACAGATGTTTTGTTTCCGTCTCTTTTGGCTGTCTAAGCCTAGCATTGCAAAAACACTGAGTCAGTCTGGAGTGTGAAGTAGTTTATTACACACAGTAATCTGCGTTTGCCCTCTTAAGATAGGCCTGCACTGTAGCAGTTCCTGCGGGCCAGAAATATTGACAGTACCGTGTTAAGCTAATACTGCAACAACAACGTTCTGTTGGTTTGGGCTGGCCACTGTCATAACTCAATAGCCGTACTATGTCAGCAGAATGCCATCCCTAATGCAGAGATAACAGACACTACTTTGGTAGCTTGGAAATAAAATTACTGTCAGTCACCATCAGTCAGTCTAATAATGTTTACATAGATTATTAACAAATAAATTATATTTGTAGCCAAAACTTATATTTAGGCTTAGACAGCTTAAAATTGATCAATGACTGTTATGATATATGGGAACAAAATATCATTATGACCAGTTATTTCTCAAAGAAACAATAGTTATAAAAATAGGACACAACTCTGTGAAGGTTTTCTCAAATATAGCTGTAAATAGGCAGTGATATATAACATTGCACAATAAAGTGTTTTGGGGTTAACCTTGCATGTGTGTTGATTTAGTTTCCCATTTTCTTTTAAAACCCACAGATAATGCGTGTCTGTGAAATAAAGGCTGTACAATGTAGGAGTTAAAAAGAACAACAATGCTCTGCTTCAGCATGAATGAAATGGCGTAGTGAAATTTAGTCAGTATACCCCATGTGAATTGAATTTAAAAGTTTCTATGGCTTCCTCCCCTCCCTAATCAACTGGTTTATTTAGCATACATTTACTGTGCTATGAGCCTGGGGGAAGGGGGATACTCCCATATTTGGTCTATACTTCAGGGTTGATTGTTTTCCCATGATCCCTAACAATTCTTGATCAATCTTGGGTGCAAAACTACATTCCCCTTGTTATTTTATCACTGAGCTGGTGACAGGAACCGAATTCTTACTGCAGTCAAACCTCCTGTAAGCAACCACTCAAAATGCAAAAAGTTTGTGGTCGCTTATGGGAATTGAACCACAAGGGGTCTCTTCTAAGGCCATAGTCATGGTTGCTTATGAGGTTTGGTCATTTACAAGAGGTTTGTAACTGTAGTGATTTCTCTGGGAAAATTTTGGTGTTTTGGATAGGTGGTCGCTTATGGGAGATGGTTGCACATGGGGGTCTGGAACAACAAGGTAACAAACTCATCTCTTTTTGTCTGGAACAGGTCCTGAGTCTGAAAGACTTAGTTGCACACCTCCATAGTAAACCCCCGTTGGGGCTATCTCAGAGAAGATTTGGGGTCCCAAAAAAAATCTAAAGGAGATGGTCACTTTAGACCGTCCTGTACTGTGGGATGCACAAGAAGAGGGAGCCAAGGGTGAGCCAGACCTGGAGCCCAGGGAGGTTTTAATCCTTCCCGTGATATCAAGATACTTTAGGGAAAAGGTGTGGTAAATTATTTTCTGGACATCATTGGCACCCACTCTTTGATTTTTTACAAATAAATTTGATTCGTATTTTTAATTATGATTGATTTGCTGTTGATAGATAAGTAAAGAAAGCAAAATTTCGATCACCTGTTGAGCATCAATTCCTTGGTATAACATTGACTAAGAGGGGGGTAGTGTGGGTTAGTGCCAAGCAGCCACTTCTCCAGTCTCACCCCACCCCCGCCTCTTTTCAACGTGTTCTACGACCCAAGATAGCGGCTTGCAATTTTGGGCACGGGAAGAGATCTAAAAGACTTCTGCAAAGTATTGCAAAATAATTTGATGATCACTGCTAAAAAGAAAACAACTTTCACCTCCCCGGGGATCCAATGGCTGATTAGTTGATTGGTCAAAGAAAGGTTATGACGCATTTTGTGAGCTTGTGATTGGATGACCCAAAAATGAAGCACCTTGCAGTTTCGACGCCCTCGGATGGTTCGAAACCTATTAGTACCTGAAAACTTTTAGTTTCTAAGAGTAACAAGTTCCTTTCTGATCTTTGCAAGAACTAAGGTAAGGGAAGAACTTTGTAGGTAGCTTTTATATATAGTGGATATATGGATTCCAATAGAACGAGCTGAAGGAGAAGATAAATTGACCATGCATTCAAACCTCACACGGCATCAATTTTGCAATAGAATGTTGGTTAAAGCTAAAAATTTTAAAACTTGCATTTTCGATGTCGTTTAATTATAGCCACGAGCGTGGGACCCAGTAAGAAAAATCCCAATCTTACGAGTTTTTCACTGTTGGTTTGTTGTTGCCTTCACACTCCGGGTCAGCTCAGCTCGGAGCTAGGGTCTTCTCATTTAAACCCGGAAAATATATTAAATTTTCCACTTTGTAAGCGGAATTTCAAGCTTCATAGTGAATATTTTTCAACAATTAACTTTCCATCTAGACAACTGTTAACTGCCAGAGCAACACAGTTATATTTATTGAGATGACAGGCAGTTGCTTAGAATGTGCAGACCTTGCAAGTCTGCAAACAAACTATTAATCCTATTGATTTGGGGGCTGGTACGGGGGCTTGGTTCACACACCGAAATATGCAATATAAAAATGATAATGTCCGTCTTTGCGAGGACACAGAATAAGTGATTTTGTTACAAATAGTTATGGTGCGTCCTGGGACTCATCTTGTGAAAAATCATGCGTCCCAGTCCAAAACCAATGAGTCCCAGTCTACCAAAAAGAGTCTGGAATTGAAAATGCTTTAGCCTTTGTGTAACCAGACTGTTAACCTGAAGACATATTCCAAAACTCTGTATTACAGTATGCTGAAATTAAAATATATTCCTTCTATTCTAAAACACATCAAAGGCTAAAAGAAATATGTATCGTTTAACAAAAGCCATAATAACTTCCACAGAAATTATGCAAACGGGATATTTCTACAGGTACACATGTTTAGGTCAATCGACCAATCTTTGGGCAATCTTTGTGTCCTGTGGGACACATGCTATGAATTATTTCAAGCGTCTTTGGGGATTATTATGCATCAGGAACGCAGGAGGAAGAGGTACCAAATTCACTGGTTAAGATTTTTAAAACTATCCTGGGGGAGAATTTGTTCAGGGAAAGTTTGTCTGGAATAGAGAAGAAGCTGTGAATAAATCTGTCACATTTTGTTCTGTACCTTTCATATGCCTACTTAAGGACAACTCACAAGTGCATCCCTCTTCTTAACACTTAGAATAACGTTAAAAATGACGTTATGGAAGGTTAAAGTAAAATGAAATAATATGGTTTTTGCATACAAGGTAAGGTGTTTCTGTCCAAAATATTTTAATTATAGGTCCTTTTAAATAGCTACGTAACAGATTTTCATACCCTTTCAAATACTTTAACTCTCTCCCATAGTGAGGCCTGAAAAAGATGCCTTTTTTTTTGGGGGGGGGGGAGCCCCCCCTATGAGACCCTCATGCAGAGTACATGTACCACGCCCCTGTCATACATGTTACATTTAGCTGCATGCGTGCCGTAACTGGTTAAGTGATTTAGAGGTTAGGCATCTGATCATTTTTCCTCTTTGAATATGTAACCATTACAACATTATTTGATTATGAAAATACCTTTAATTATTCAAAACTACATGTAATGTAACTAATCTTGTCACTGTTTTGGAAGGGCTAAGCTTACAGAATGAGTCGTAAAGGAGCTCCCACATCTCAAGAGGGCGAGAGCATCTACCGCATCCCACCATATTACTACATTCATGTCTTGGACCAGAACACCAATGTCACCAAGGTGGAAGTTGGACCAAAGACCTTCATACGGCAGGACAATGAAAAGGTAACAGTACTGACACTTGGTCTTTTACATGCTCTGGTACTCTTGTAGACAATATCTCTCAACCAAACAGCCTACAAGAATTTCTATGGTTAGTGTTAAAGATTGGAATTATCCCTCCTTTTTGTTTGGTCTATAGTGAAGGTGCATCTCTCTGTTATGGACGGGACACTGTCTTGATTCCAAAGATAAGAAACCTCCCACTCCATACCTATAATTTCCCGAAAATCAAAATATGTCAACTTTGTACATTAAATTCAAATTCATATGTCTGTTCATCTGGTCCAAGTTTTTAAAAGGTGGATAATGCTATCCACTGGATAAATCTCTATCCACTGGATAGCACAATCGGTTTTCCTAATACTCATTCACCAGATAATGATTTATCTGGTGGATAGTGCTGTCCATTGTTTGAACAAGTGGCGCCTGCAGGTGTCTTGATATTTATAGAGAAATTTAATTTACTGTGCAATATAAATTGGTGCTTTAATTTATATCTTTACCTCTTTTAGGCCTGTACTGTAAACTCAGTCATTTCAAGGGGGCAAACTACACTAAACTTTGGAATAAAATTACTGAGAATCATGATTTTATCTGCAGAGTCAGAAAAACACAAATGACATTAATGTTTTCTTTTAAGAGTTCTGTATTAGTATTAAGCCATTGGGTCTGACACCTTATTACAGAGCATTTCTACAATTTTCCACACATTTTTACAGGTCATTCTTGGCCCTGATAAAATGATCACAGTTCCTCCTCGTCATTATTGTGTGGTTGAGAATCCAGTGCTGAGAGACAAAGATGATCGTGTGGTGGTTGACATCAATGGACAAATTAAGCTTGCTCATGCAGATCAGGTGATTATCAACAACAATAGCCACATTACACTCTGTTATTCATGAGATTTTACATTTATTCTTGTAAACTTCATAATAAAGCACTTACCCTCTCTGGCTTTGCTAATCAAATAGAAATTAAATACCAACTAGTAAAAATCAGTAATTCATAAACTTTACTTAGGGCCTCAGTTTACATGGAGGTGGGGACCCCAGGTAGGTGAGGTAACTCGCAGCGGGTCACCCCACCTATAATGTAAATGTGATCAAATTATTATGAGGGATTATATGGACAGAAGGTCACCCCACCTAAGCGGGTAACTGCACCTACCTGGGGTCCTTCACTTCCATGTAAATAGGCCCTTAGAATCCGTCATGATTAAGATGCTTTTAAAGAAATTTAGCCAGTTATACAGCCTGTCATACGTTTTGTAAGATGCACTTCATATCTTCCCTCTTTTACTGGTTATGTTGTGTTGTAGGATATTCGCCTGGCTCAAGACCCATTTCCTTTATATCCTGGAGAAGTGTTGAAACTAGGTGTCACATCCTTGAAGGTTGTAATGGCTAACTCTGCAATCAGACTTAGAGCTATGCTGGATTATGAGTCTGAATCTGGAGAGAAAAGAATTGCAGGTGATGAATGGCTGTTTGAGGGACCAGGTAGGTAATAAATTTCATAATTGTTTTTAATTGAAGTATTGTTTTGGGGGGGGGGAGGGGGGAGTTAAATTTGCAAAGGAAACCTCTAAAAGAAAATAATTTCCTACATAGTCTGTTAGAGAGTAGTGTGCAAGTACTTGTTTACACACTTAAAAAGGTTAATAAAAATTGTTGACCCAAGATCGAGTGTCGTAAGAATTTGAAGTGTCTAAATAGGTACTTGTGGTCAATTTTTTATCGGTAGGTTATTATTGCCTTGTCATTACAAAACTCAACTTTTATCCACCTGCCCACTATCCCCCCGCCCCACTAAAAAATTAGTAAACCCACCAAGTTATTTGTAAATACATAGAACTTTAATGATGGTGACTGTGGACACAGGGAACCCAATAAAGTAATACCATTGTGTGTTTTACCATTTGCAGGGACTTATATCCCAAAGAAAGAAGTTGAGGTAGTTGAAACAATCCGAGCCACAA